GCGCCGGGGGGGCCGGCCCGCTCGCGCCCCCGGCTCTGGAACGCCCGTCTGCCGGGTCACCTGCGGGGACCTGGGCGGACGGGACAGGCGTGGGTGTGTGGTCCCGGCGTCACCCTGCAGCCATCCGGCGGCTCCCAGTGCCTGTTTAAATGGCTCTTGTTCCGGGTCCCCTTCCCCTCCCCCTCCGGGAAGGGGCCTGGCAGGGTCCTCTGTCACTCCTGGGTTCGCCAGCGGCGGCCTGCACCTGCGGGGCTGTCCAGAGGTCAGGGAAGGAACATGCCCACGAGCCGGGAGTGGACAGAGCCCTTCCCAGCCTGTGTTTGCCTCTTTGGGGTCCCTGGTCCCGCACTGCTTGAACCTGCACCTTTTATCACTTACGAAACCCAGACTGGCAGCTGCCGCCAGTGCAGCTTCTCGATTCCCATCAGCCCATCAATATTTACTGACTTTCTGCTTCCAGTCCTAGACCCACTGCGCATCGGATACCTGCAAAAACTTTAACCTTAAAGCGTACTTTATAAGAGTAAGAATGAGTTCCAATAATAAAGAAATTCCTGATGTGTATTATCAGGAATGTTGTGTGTGTGTGGTTGCTTTAGAACATTGAATTCTCTTGTCTCAAAACAAAATCCATCTGGAAACTTACCAGCCGAACCTGTATAAACCTGTAAAAACAAACACAAACAATCCAGTCACCCTGTTTTTTTTCTGGTTAAAGGTGTCTAGTGGTCAGTTTCTCTGGGATGGGTTGAATCAGGCCATTCTTAGGGGAAAACTTTCCTTTAAAATGTAAAAATTCTTGACTACCAGAAGCGTTTGAAGGTGACTTACTGGTTTTCTCTGCTTTCCTGCCTCACCACAGCAGGAAGAAATTAAGTGATTCGTAACCGGCCCCACTGGTAATCAGTTTGGGAAATGGAATGGCTTTGTTGTTCAAAGAGCTAATGAGATACCAAACTTTTCTGTATTTTCTCTCTTTTTTATATTTACAAAATTAGACTTTGCTGGGAGACTTTTTGAGCAGTGCACTAACTTTTTGATGAACTCAGGAAAGAGGTTGTCATTGTTATAAATTTAACCCGAGTGTAATCTCTTATCAAGTCGGGTTCTTTGAAAAGATGGTGGGCAGTTATAAAGTGGGTACACCTTGCCCAGTCAGGGCACTCTTCTGCAATTCTCAAAACATATTAACGTGTGCCTTTTTAATAAAGATTTTAGGGCCCATTTCTGATAACAATGAAAAAGATGTTAGGCAAGTTACTCAGATCTTCAGCATTTTGTGTATTTCTTAAAAAAAAAACAAACACACGATTCCACACCTCTTCTTCCGACTTGTCTTATAGCAGACGGAATAAGCTGTAAACCATTATTCAAGGTGAATGAAGTCTTGCTGTTTGGTCTTGTGCAGTCTAAGGATGTTGGAAGTCACTTTCAACTCTAAAGTTCAGTTTATTCGCCAGTAACTGGAGAAGACCCAAAGCCCCTCCTCCTTTCCTCAGGTATCCCAAGTTCTAGAAACTGTGGTGTATCCTAAGTGCAGTTCTAGTTCTCCCTGTTGGAGAGGCTCACGTTCTGGGAACTGATGGAGGTAGATTGCGGACACACACCAGGACCTTTTCAGAGCAGCTGGGGCAGCTTGCTCCTGATTGGGATTCTGCCTTTCAGTTTGCTCTCAGGGCAGTTGCTAAGGTTTTTGTTTGGAGAGTTTTTGTGGCTAGATAAGGAGCAGTGTATGTAGTAGCCTTCGCAGATTGTGCTTCAGAGTTTTGCAGAAATAGAGATGTTTGTGATTCCTATCTGTCTGAGATATGGCTAAATATCTCCCTTAAACTGATGTTTAGTTTTCATACATGCTCCAATGTGACTGGGCAATTGTGGCTTCGTTGCTTAGGATGGAGAAGATTCAGGACAGTTTGAGACTTTTGTACTGCATTTTCATGCATACATGTACGTGCTCACACTTGCACATACTTTTAACCACACATTGTATTGTATTTTACAAACCTGTCTTTTCTCCTGGATGATCATCATCAGTGAGGCTTGCCTACAACCTGACAGCTGGGAATTAACTGTCACGTTATTAGAAAAAAGGGAGGGAAAACGTGTCCATGGATGACCACTTGGAGTGGGAAATTGTTGTGATAGAGACTGGGGAAAATCATTCCACCCCCAGAATTAATCCAAACTTTGAATCTTACTCTCCCAATTGCTATTGAAAAGTCACTGGGGGTCATTAAATAAGAATTGTTCTCATAGTTTTTTTTTAATTCAAAAAAACTTATAATTAAATACTTATTAGAGTCCTGGGATATTATACAACTCACTTTCTATTTAACAGACTCTGATTTGTGAGTAACTCAAGCCAATTTAAGAGGACACATTCTCCTTACAGTAACGATGGTGTCATTTGAAAGCCTTATAGGAGTGCGTGTGTTAGAAGTTGAAGAGGTGTCAAAAACAAGGCTGCTTTGGTGCTGATCTTCTGCTGGAGAATTTTTATTAGCCCATTTTATAGATGAAACAGCTATGGCCCAGGAAGATGTGCCCTGAGGTCACAAATTGTTGAGTCCTTGGAAGGGTTCTTAGAATGAGACCCTGGAACTGTCTGTCCCTGCCGCTCGCCTCCAGTCCATGCCATCTGCTTGAGTCTGGGATGTCTTGCGTGCCACATTGAATAACTTTTATCACGTCTGTCGGGTGAGAGCTTGTCAGCCTTGGCACGGTAGACGTTCTGGGCAGCATCAGTCTCTGTGCGGGGGTCCTGTGTGGTATGTGCAGTCGTCTCCCTGGCTTCTGTCTTCTCTGCCACTGGCACCTCTTTTCAGGTGTGATGACAAAAATGTCTCCAGGCTTTGCCAAATATCCCCTGGGGGCAAAATCACCCTGGATTCGAGGCACTTTGGTTAGATTAACCATGTATCACCTTTGCTCTCAAAGGACTTGTGCTTTTAAAACTCAGTGCTTATTTCTTTGTGAAGACACTGGCCTTGAGATGGTGTGTTTGGAGGCCCCTGGCATTGCAAGTGTTTGCGCAGAGGGCTGTTTTCTTCCCAAGCGCTGGCCCGGAGAATAGGCTTTATTTACACAGTAAAACTCAAACAAATACTTGCTTCATCTGCATTTTTGTAGCTGGAGAAAGGAAATTAAAGCAGGAACTCCCAAGTGCGGTGTTTCATGGGCATTCACAGAGGCTGTTTGGCTCAGGCCTGACTTTTCTCTGGGTACAGTTTGAAGTTAAAGGGTCACTAACTTCAGGAGGAGTAGCATTTTGGGAATTTGGGATGCATACATGAAGCCCAACGAGACCTCTGCTGACAGATGGCAACAGAACTCATAACGACTCAGTATGTTTCCGCTGATCTGTAGCTTAAAATTTTGCTACGGTTAGTGAAAAATTACACTCAAACCCATTTTTGCACACTGCTGTGAGGGTGTCAGAATAATGTCTACGTCCTAGGAAGCTGTGACTTGTCAGTGTTTCCAAGACTACACATTGCTGTAGCACCTCTTAGGACCTGTGTAGGTAGAGGCAGTAGATAAATGTGATCCTGGCATTATTTTTGCAGGTTCCTGTCCCCATCAGGTCAACCAATGGAAATCTTCAGAGAGGGGGAGGGGAGAGAGCTGATTTCTAAAATGTCACTAGAGTGGCTTGCATTCCACAAAGCTGTTTGGGGGATTCATTAGGAAGCATTAAATACACCAGCTGGGTGTCAGCAGGACCCCCGTGGCCTCAGGAATGTTTGTTAAGGGAAGGAAGGAATGAAGCACCAGCCCCTCCTGTTCACCATTTCTTAACTTGCCCGCCCCCCCAAGAATGCTGAAAGCCTTAGCCAAAAGGACTAAAGAAGACATTAAAGTGGGCCTGGCCTGGCCCCAAGGGCAGCTCCTGGAATCCACTGACTTTCAGGTTGCCTTTGGAAAATTGAACCGTCCTAATAAGGGGGTAGGATTGCCTGGGATGCTTGGGGGTTCCCCCACCTAACTCACCCTCCCTAGGG